AATTTAGTAAAAAAAATCTTGATTTTATTTGTTAACAGTCACACAGTCCGAATTAAGCCACATCTAGGATTGACTAGTCAAAGTCCGAAGTAATTTTTCTTTAATTTCTAACTTTGACTAGCCGTATTAGTTATTCCTAGGATTGACTAGTCAAAACCCGAAACGCAAAACTTATTTCGGGCTTTGACCAAGACGCTTGGTCATTCCCCAGGATTGATTAGTCAAGCCTAGGAATGCCTACGCTTCGGGCTTTGACTATAACAGACACACTTCGTGGCAACTATTCGCCATGTTGTTGATGCGATCACGCTTTATTTGATATAATATTATTATCTTTTTATCTTATCCATAAACGTCTATGATCTTACCTTAATATCTCATACTCAGTTACCATGACAATCGTCATGTTAATATGTTATTAGTTGTGCAAATCGCCATATTTATTTCCAACTTCTTAACAGAGTGTACCTACTGCTCTTACTTATACTGTGTCTGGGACATGTTGACTATCAATGCTTCAAACAACAAACTTATTCTTAGGCTAATAAAGAATTTTTCAATCACAGGTTTCTTTACTTTATAATTATTAATTGTTAAAATATTGTTTGTGCATAGATTATACATGTGTAACTTGGAGAAAGAAATTTTGTCAAGACTATGTGCGTATTATATACCATTATTACACATGATAGTTAACATTATATGTTAACGTGAATTAAAATTAGAATAAAAAATTAATAAGAAAAAGGAAAATAAGGAAAAAGTTTTAAACGCAGATAAAAAATAAACTTCGTCTAATTTTGCAATGTGCAAAAATCATGCAAGATTCCAGAATAGTGCTAAACTTTTACTCACTTACTATACGTGCTGCATGCGTGAAATGCAAGAGACCTCGTTAGTTGTATTATTTGCAATTCTACACGCGTATTATTTTAGCAAAAGAATTAATACATACGTTATCTACCTCTCTTTGAGATCTCATGGCGCAATCTTCGAGTGTCTTCACGGCCTCACATTTACCTTGTCTTTGATAAAGAGCGCCGAAGTTCTTTAAGGTAGTAGTGATAGTAGAATCCATCTTTACAGCTTTGTGGCAACCACCATACTCGCCATATGGTATGTTCTCCTTGTTTCTGTGCTTATTCTCCTTCCTCTCTTCAGCTACCTAAAACAGAAATCAAGATTGATCAGAAAACGATTAATTTCCAAAAGCTTTAGGAATTCAAAAAAGTTAAATTAATACAAATTTAGTCTCCTTAACAATAAAATGTCTTGATGTAGAACAAATCTTAATATAAGGTAGCAAAACAATTTTGTTAACAGTGAACCACTGCCATATCTTAATTTTCACATTAGATAATGTATTTAAAAATACGGGAGTTAAAATAATAAATTAATGCTGACTGTCACATCCGTTATTAGTTGTGTAAAGAGAGAAGTTTCATTGTTAATCCAAAAGTTTTAAGCTTTTTTTCATGAATCAATATCTTTTAAAAGATATGATAATTCATAAGCTAATAATAGTTGATAACGATAACGACAATGAATAGAAGGGGAAAATAATTTCTGCATTTATCCACAATATTATTATAAGCAAAAATATAGGACACTTTGAAGGAACTTATTCAGATCTATCGAAATTGATATATCAATATCTATTCAATTTAATATCTCAATATTCATATCATATTGCTGATACATGAAGACATGCATTCAATGTGGTTTAATGCTGATGCAAAATGCACGTGCACGAACCTGTACGGAATTGTACGGAAAGGCACGAGAATATATTAGTCATGACTCATGAGCACAGGCTATACTAACTGAACTGCTCACTGTGATTATTTCACATGTGATAAAAAGAGATAGAAGTGAAACCGAGTCGCCATTGTATGTGTCATGATGCACATGATGCGCATTGTCCGTGAGTGTATCACGTGATCTAAATCACCAAATAATGACTGATTTATATATATATGTGAGTATATGACAAGAAATGGTGTCCCTTATCTTTAGCATAAAAAATGGCGGCAAAGTAAGCATTCTAATTAGTATATAAAAGTCAGGTCATAAGGAATGTCTCTCACGACATCTACATTCTTCACGTTTGTTAGTCTCTCATGAGCAATCGCGTGACACGGATATTCGTGCCTGAAATATTCTTAGTACACATTTTCACGTTCATAATCTCAGTCTTCCTTCAACGTGACTGATAAAACGTACTGATAAAATGTACTGTGTATTTTTGTTTAATTGATAAAGACTACATTCCGATATTGTCAGCAACTGTCAGTACTGTCAGCAGCTGTCAGAACTGAAAATCTATACATAATATACGTGACGTAAAATATAGAAAAATATAGATTTTCAATACTGACAGTGAATCGAGATGCAGCCTTTAATCAAATCAAATCAAATCAAATCAAATTAAATTAAATTAAATCAAATTCAACAAATTACATGAAAAAGTTCAGTGTCCGTGCACAGTGTATTCAATACTTTTAAGGTATACAATTTTGCAGTTCTAAACTTTTTTACACTAAAAAGTATTCACACGTAGTGTCCATTAAAAGACCTTAGAACTGTCATAACTCCATGAGCCATTTATTTCCATAAAAGATTTATAATATTCACATTACCTTTATGATAAATATCTCTCTCTCTATAGAAAATCCATTATAAAAAAGTAGAGATATTTACTATATATGTAAAGACAGAATTACATATCTAAACTCATATAATTGATCAAAAATCAAGTTTTGTATATTATTTAAATTCTTAAGTAAACTTTGATATATTTAAAAAATTATGTAATTATATCTTTTGTCATAATTTTAATATTAGATGAAAAAAATTTAATTATAAATTAAAATAAAACTTTAATTCATAAAATTTTAAGTATGATATTTTCCAAAAATATTCGTTGAAGTAATTTGTTGTTAATTAATTAAAAATGGTGAAAAATTATATGTGGATTACAATTTGTATTAATATAATTTATATAATTAATACTGTCAATCAGAATTATTAAAGTAATGTTCAGTGTTGGAAAATATTATTAATCAACACACTATCAATCTACATAAATATAATCAATATTGATATAATTTGTAATATACACATATACTAGTATTTTGCAGTTTATATTTACAGTATTTGATATTGTGTTAATTTTTCTTGTTACGGACATAAACATATTTTATTTATTCCTTTACAATTTACATACAATGTAACGGACTGCATACTAGAAATAAAAATTTATTTTTTATTATATAAAATAAATTTCTTATGCTTAATTAGGACCATCATACACACACGAGTAAGTAAAATATTATATATTTAATAACTTTTAATTAATGGCTTTTCTTAGCTTTTGTCAATAAGTGCACAGTCATAGAAAATCTCTAGTTAATATCATATGTCATATTAGTCATTCATCAGAGCTCTATATGAAATATCCATGTAGCTCCATATAAACTTCGAAATTTATTTACGCCTAGTAATTAATAATTAATCAAATATAAATCAAATAAAAGTACGAAATACGGGCCTATAGACACTCAGTAGACATCCATAGAAAGTTACATTAACGATTAATAAAAGTTTTGAATTTCCATGATATCTACTAAACATTTATTAGAGGCTTTATAGATCTAAATACTTATTGTTAATAATACTAGTAACTACAATTGTGATACAAGATATATATTGCTTACTCATGTTTCATTTTTCTATCTGAATGATGCAATGCGTTATCTCTAAAGTTGCTGATTAATTGCTCCAAACAATCTACTTATATTTATATTTTTAAAAAATGTCAAATTATAGCTGAATAAATAAAAGCGTTTAGTATGAGAGAATTTGTCTATAATACGTAGACTTAAATAAAAAACTTTTTATATAATAATTTACACAAAATAAAAAATTTACGCATTTACATAACAATTACATATTTTATTGAAATATTTCAAAAAAGAGCTTACTCATTCCTTTTGCATTATCGCAGTGCGTAATATTGATACATGAGTATATAAAATCGATAAATTATACTAAATTTTTTATTGTTTTTTATAATTTAAATATTGATTATATTAAATATTACGTTAAATAATATAAGCAATGATTAAAAATATTCATAACTGTGATCAAAAAATTAATTTTGTCCGAATTGTAATTTGTAAACTACTTATATGTATCTATATACATTTTATTTGTGAACTAAAATGATTTCTGGTAGCCTACGCAATGTAAAATTTATTTATAAAAATTAAAACAGATTACACAACTTGAACTGACATGGATATTGTTCATGATCCACATTTGAGACACTTGTTCGATGGTGACCCAATATTTAATGTCTACAATCAGGAAGCTGTAAACTTGTCAGTCGGAGCACCTGGTCCTGACTTATTAAAACATTGTGCAGAAATGCTGAATAGATCCACGCGACATAGACTGGTAAAAATGAAGTATTTTAATATTACATTTATCTTTGCGTTTGACAGACAAAATATACTTGAACAATCAATACATAGATATTCTGAATAACTTTTTGTATCTTTCTAAATTATTATCTTTAAAAACAATTTATTATCATAATGATATTTAAAAATAAGTTAATATTAGTCAAATAAAATTATTTTTATTTTTACTTTGTACTTTTTGCATATGTCCGTTACATTTGTTAAATCGCGCAAGTAATAATGTAACTACAACTAATATTAATAATTATTATGACTTATAAAAAATGGAGTCATAAAAGTTAAAAAAATTACTTCTATAAGTAAAAAATATCTATATATTATAAATTTTTTTCAGAATCAGATAGCAGTTTCAATTATTATATTCATTCAAGTTAAAGTCCAATTAAAGCTAACTGTAATTAGTAATTATCAAATATTTTGATAAAAGCAAATCTCATGCAAATATTTAACAAAGACAGTTTTAAATATTTTTTAAGTTAAGATTAAAATGTAACGATGAGATACTTAAATTATTTTAATGAACATTTTATAAAGATAAATAAACATTTTAATATTTATTGCTTGCATTTATGGAATATTTCATAACCTATCTCAGAAATAAAATCCTAAAATATTTATTGATACTTTGCAATCCATATTGATGAAATTAAATGTTGCTTTAGGAAGAAGAAGAAAAGGAAGGGAAATATTATCTCTTTCAATACGGTATCACAGCGGGTCTTTGGGAATGTCGCGATGAATTAGCCAAGTTTTTGAGCAAACGGTATAGCAATTCCGTGATGAGAGAGCATCTAATATTGACATGCGGAGCATCGCACGGTCTTCAACTATTATTAAATACCATACTCTCACCGAATGGAATTATCTTTGTAGAAGAAGTTACTTATATGATTGCTCTTGATGCTTTTAAACAATTTCCATTAATGCTAATAGTTACAGGTAAATGATACCTACTATAAATTTGTTATATATTTGTAAAACAAACAAAATAATGTCTAATGCCCATTTTCACCAACGTTGTTTAACTTTAACCTTAGTTTAACTCACTCTTTGTCTTTACAGTCTCCCTTATGCCCATTTCTACCAATGTAATATTAACTTTATTTATATAGATTAATCGCGGTTTAACTTAGGGCCAGTTTCACAAGTGTCGGTTAACTTTTAATCTTAGATTAACTTACTCTTCTTCTTTTTCTAAGGGGGACGTTAGAAGGAGACGAAGAGTGAGTTAATCTAAGATTAAGAGTTAACCGACACTTGTGAAACTGGGCCAAGAAGTATCTTTTTCTAACTCTTAGAACTAGGAAAAGATGACAGGTAAGTTAAACCAAGATTAAAATTAACCTGTGTTGATAGAAATGGATATTAGAAACAGACAAAGAGTGAGTTAAACTAAGATTAAAGTTAAACGACGTTAGTAAAAACGGACATTAATGTATTAAATTTATAAAAATAAAAAAGAATATAAAAACTATATAGTAAAAATGTATATACATATATGTATAGTAAAAACATATATACTATATAGTAATTAAAATAAGATATAATAAGATAAATGTATCAAATGTATGGCTGCGTTTCTAAATTCATTGCCAGCACTGAAAATCTATACGTTACATGTATATAGACTTCCAACACTGTAAATCTATAGTACATGTAACGTATACTACAGATTTTCAACGCTGGCAATAAATTTAGAAACTCAGCCTATATGTATATAATCCTGTATATATAGATATAATACTCCCTCGTCTTCGCCAACCGAAGGTTGGCAGCAGTCGGGAGAAAAATATAAATAACATAAATATGTTTTTATAATATTAGACATTTTATAAGAAATTCTATGTAAAAATGTTAACTAAAGTGTCTATTATTGTTTTTATTTCATATAGTGCCAATGAAGGATGATGCAGTAGATCTAGATGCACTTGAAAAAATAATAATTGAAGAGAAGACAAAAGGCAACTTTCTTTTAAACAATCAGAAAATATTCTGGGCGATGTTTTATACAATACCAATTTTTCATAATCCAACCGGAATGACATTGTCACCTGGTAATTTAAATATTGCTGTAAATGTATATTTTAAATTGTCGTAACCATCCACTGTATTCTGTATCAGAACAATTTGCGATTTCATTATTTATATTTTTTCAACCAATATACTTATTTATATACTTGATTATATATGTACTTTAAATTTTTGTACTTTAAAAGAACAAAATTTTATAATCGAAAGTGTTCAAAATCTAAAGTTTAAAAATCTAAAGTACATATATTATACTTAAAAGAATAAAATATATAAAGTAAATATACCAATGCCTGGACACGTACCTATATCTCGACATTTTTATCATTTTAATCCTTAAATAAGTTATAACGTGAATTAAAATCAAAGAATCAAAGATAAAAATATTTTTCTTGTATTATATTTTTATCTTTAATTTTAATTCGCGTTGTACTTCTTTAAGAACTAAATTATTTTAAAAAGTAAAATGATAAAGGTGTTCAGACATAGGTCTTAAGTGTCCCGTCATTGGTACCTTATACTTCTTGAGATACATTAAACATAGATTATTTTGTCAATTTTATTTCTCGGTAGATCAATGCAAGCGTTTAGTAGAGATTGCACAAAACAATTCCATAGTGGTAGTCTGTGATGATGTGTACAATTTGCTTTATTATGGGCAAGGACCTCCGCCACGACGTTTATTTACTTACGATGATCCAAAAGAACCAAATTATAAAGGAGGGAACATTGTATCAAACTGTTCGTTCTCTAAAATCTTTTCACCAGCGATTCGCTTTGGATGGATTGAATGCAGTCCGCGTGTTGTGAACATTGTGAAAACATCGTAAGGGATCTTATTTTCTTTTTCTTAAAAAAAAAACTGTTAATTAAAAAATTGTAAATTATGCGAAACTATTTAATGTGTCAACGATTTACAAAAAAGTCTAAATAAAGTTAATTATTGAATATTAGTGCGTTATATCGATTGACGAAAATCTTGTGACTTATTATTGTAACTGTCTTAATGCATGTCTTTTAACTTTTATTTTTTTTAGGGGCATAATGTGCAGTGGTGGTGGAGTTAATCATTATGTTTCCGGAGTAATTGCAAGTTTGCTTCATGAAAATCTCGAAAATGAGTATCTGGATAAGATTATAAAGATTTACAAGGTACGTTACATCATCTCTGTACTATAAATATTTTTATGCTT